AAAGAGATTAAAAAAAGATTTTTTGTCAAAGTAAATGACCAAATTGGGGTTTTAACACCCAAGTCTTTCACTCTGTGCAAATGTAACTCATGAGAAAATAACCTCTTTTAATTTTTCTGCATTCATTGTTTTGATTTGATCTATCTAACAAGACAAGTTTTCACATTAACAAAAGACTTATTAAGTCTTGGTCATGGTATTATGATTCAAGTCTTCATCAATGCCTTGGTGGTTTACAACTTGAGTCAACTTGGCCCTTTCTTTTCCTCTTGAGGTCTTAATTGATATTAATTACATCACGCTTTTGATAGATGATGTTTGCATATAAACTACTATTGTGATTAGCAAGTTATGTATGTATCAATGCTATATATTAATTTTCAATTTCACTAGAACTTTGCAAGAAACGAATAGATGAGATTCATAGTACATTATCCTAAGAAAAATTGATGCGCTAAAATTTGCTAACAAGTGTATTAGTCACTTAAGTAATAAAGTAATAAAGTAATAAGAAGAGTGTTGAATTTATAAAAATTATAATTAATTAAGTACATAAAATAACTTATTCTAAAATTATTTAAACAAAAAAAGAGAGGAATTTTTAATTAAAACTAATTTAAAAAAGTAACAATTTAAAATAAATTTACCAAGATATGATATTTTAAGGCATTTGACTTCATCATAAGCAATTAATATAAATCCTAAATTATTATACTTTAAAGATATTTACTATTTAAGTAACGGCAAAATTTACTATTCTTTTTAATATACTTTATCTAATGAGGGCTCTCCAAGGATATATTAATAATATAAAAATTACAATTTATCAATAATTTTCTATATAGGTATTACATAAAATCAAATTTCTACTACTATCTCATTCGTGGTTGATGAGAAAGCATTTTATATGCTTAAATCTATTATATTAGTTTTGATTTTACTACTATTTGCAAGGATTATATGTGATTTTAATAAATTGTATATAGTTTTCATTCTTAGTATAGAAAAGGACTTAAGTGCATAATTATAGGAGTTTTTGAGATTAATCGAATATCTTTTGAAAGTTGAGGGATTGAATTGCAAGGAGAAAGGTGCCTTTTTGGGACCGAGATGAATGAATCTTAAGTTACTGGAGCAAAGTGCATTGTATAAAATATGGAGGACCAGATCTGCTATTTTACCATTGAAGAAAATGCAAAAAGAGGCAGGACCCGACGTGGGTGTGGTGTCGACACGTAATTTGCGGTCTCAGCACCATGCATTAAGCGCCTAGCATTGAAGTTTTCTGTTTTGTCTCAGCCCTATTTCTTTTCTAATAGAGTTGCTTAAACTCTATAAATACCCATTCAAAAATCAGATTTGGGACTTTTGGTGGGAGACCAAAGAGAGATATGGCTAAGAGGAATTCCACAGCAACAAAAAAAAAAAAAAAAATCAAAAAACTTGAGATCTTATATTATTAAATTGGTTTTACTTGTTTTTGAATTTTATTTTATAATATTAGATACTTTTATATATATTACGAGATATTTGATTTTTTTTTCTTTAATTATGAACTAATTTAATCATCTAAAGCTACAATATAACCTGGTTAATTTAGTATAGAATTTCATGGCTTTTATGCTTTCAAAATTTATTATTTTATGTAAAATATATATTATTATTCTTAACATTTTTTAATGATTGATCATCATTAAAATTAATTTGGAGAGTATAATTGAGACTAAGAAAAGATTTTATTCAACAACTTCTAGTGATGTATATCATGAATTGAACGAAAGTTAAAGATGGACTAATGTGGATTCATGCAGCACTAATTATAAGTGTTTACGTAAATTAGGGAATTTCATAAAATATAATGCATCTTAATCTATTTAAAATTCACATGAAGATATAGTGAATTAACAAGTGAAAATAAATTTAATATAACTCAAGAAAATATATTGAATAGAGTAGAAAATCCCACTTCATATGAATAATAAATGCTTTGAAAGTATATTAATTTAAATTTTATATTGATTGATTATAGTGAAATCGAATGTCTTAGAATTTTAACTCTTAGTTTTACTTAAAGTCAATTTATTTTTTTCTTTAATTAGTTTATTCAAATCATTTAACTATAACTATTTAAATAAAATTAGAATTAATTAATTTTGATACTTACTTAGTCTTGAGATGATACTCTATTTTTATCATTATATTACTTAAATTGACTAATACTTTTGTTAGAGTTAAATTAACTCATCAATGGTATGCTATTTTGTCTAAAAATTGGCTTCTACTTTAAAATTTCTTCGACTCATATTAAAGATTGGCACACATATGCACCATGTTTATTATAGGTTAATTTTCATGTATATTGCTATGAGAATTAAAATAGTGATGGTAAAGAGAATAGATTAATAAAAAGTTTAGGATCTATTCATCTATAATCTAAATAAGGAAGATTCAATAGCAAAATTAAAATTTGCAAGTTGACCTTTTAAGTGAATATGGTTTATTAATTTTATACTACAACAAGTAAAGCTAAAAGCGAAACTAATTTGCGAGATATCAGTGATGAAGCAATTGAATTGATTGTGATGAGCTTACCAATCAGTCCTAGACCTCGGTTGCAAGAATTTTCTTCATAAAAATATAATTGAAAAATTATAAGTAATTACAAAGAATTTAAGAAAGAAATTCTTATCTATTTACTAAAATGTGGATCTTTTCATGTTACTTTTTTAATTTAAAATTTTTATATCTCATTCATGAATTTAAATTATTTAAAAGTTAATTCTTACTTTGAAATTCTTTCACTCTTATATTATATATTGACATGTACATGCATCATATTTATTACATGT